GGGTTGCGCGGCCGGGCCCGCTCGGCCGTCCGCCATCTTTGCGGCGGCGTGCTCCGCCGGAGACCGGGCAGGTTATGCTCCTTTTTGCCGTTTCCTTTTCGAGAAAATTATGGTAATCGTCTATCGGCGAGTTTTCTGGTTATAACGGAATCCTTGAATTCAGTCGCGCTCGCGTTCGTTTTCTCGGATAACGTAATTTTCAGTTCGCGGCCATCTCGAAGTTTTGTTGCAACACGGATAGAAGCGGACTGCGGAAGTGTGCGCGCAGTTTAACTTTGTTTTTGAGGTCTGTCGAGAAATCGCGAAGACTTCGATCGTTTAATTTAGATAGATATCTTCCTCCGCGAAATTGTATATCATAATTCGGATTACACGAGAAATTATGGAAATACCGTGTTATTGGCAGGTTTAACCGGCAGGTTTAGAGGCAATCGCGAGGCGAGGGTTAAAAAGGGACACCCTGTATATATTCATTAGGTTCCACGGTACAGTTAGCGGAGTGAAAAGCTTCGGAAGCGCGATACAGTTAGTCACACGGGAAGTCGGCGGCTGAAAAGGACGGGAGTATTTCAGATTGATGAAAAGAGAGGATTTTAAATCGGTGAATGGCGACTGTTTCAAATTCATCGGGCCGCGGCGGTCGGTACCGTAACGGCGGGATATAAATTTTCGCGTGCGCTACCGCGGCCGTGGCCGCGCGCAGCGATTAGCGCCGTAAACGGGGAATAAACGGTTCGACCGAACATGGCTCGCGGGCGCAGAAAAAAGCGTGCGTATTTCCAATCGCGTTCCATTTCCCCGAAACGCGAAGAAAGTCGCCCTCCCCCCCCGCTTTTCTTTTCCCACGACCGAATCCACCTTGACCGAGTTCCTGCCGTTCAATTAGCCGTTACACATTTCAAGGGAACCTCCCAGCGGTCTCGGGCAGACGGGGAAAAAACAGAAACGATTAACGTCGCGATGCTCGACTTTTCACCTCATTAAAGAATTGTTTACACGTCTCACGCACGCGTTACCGCGCGTAGTTCGTACAAATTAGGAAGATTAAATGCTAATTACTGCGAAACACTGTGCAACGATCTTTGCTCTTCGAATCCGCTGAAACGAGCGATCGAAATTCATAATTTAAATTACGCTTCGTGGCTGCATGGGAATGGACGGTGAATTTAGCAGATTAGTAAACGATCTCGCGTCTGCATCAACGTTCAAACACGAACGAGTCGCGTATAAACAGCGCGATCTCGTCGGAAGCCGCGATGCGAGAAGATTAGCGAAAAAAGCGTGCATTCGTCTGTGCATCGAACACGGCGGAGGTAAACGAAACCAGAGGCAACGAGCGAGGACAAGGAAACGAGGAGGAGGAAACGGAAGAAAGCGAGACAGAAGGAGGAGAGATAAATAATTATCCGCGAGCCGGGGCTCGTCAAGTAACTGTTATCCATCGCGATAAATAAGAGGCGCTCGGTAGGCAATGGTTTCGAGTAATTCGTCGTTCATCCCGTGATCGAGTAACGGGAAGAGCCGATAGCGTTATCGGCGATCATTATTCGACGATTAGACGACCTGATTCATCGGTTATTGAATATTAATCATTTTTAGACGGAACCGCGGCCTCAGCGGAAGATTCCGATCGACCGCCCCGAGCCGTCCCGCGGAAAATAAGAAACGAGCGCGGTCGTTCCCTCTCGCGGATCCGCGTATTAAATTCGCCTCGGCCGCGCGGCGAAGATTGTTTGATTTCAACGGTCGCGGCGATGTTTAGATCCATCTAGGGTCAGCCGGGGTCGACGCGGGAACCCGAAGAATGTCCACGCGAGGAAAGAACGCCGCGTATCGCGCTACTGAAATACTCGCGCGCTTCAGCCACCAAAACGAGCATTACTGACTGTGACCTCGATTCAGCGTGCTGAGGGACCTGGCGATGCCCGACCACCAGAGGATTGTGGCCACGTAACCGATCCACCGCATCCTGATCCCTGAAATCAGAAAAGGCAGACGTCAGCGGACGATCGGAGCTTCGTTCTTCGTTGCTTCTTGCCTCGGAATTGTTTCTTCTCGCAGTCATCGTCATTTTCAGGCGTTATTCATCTATTCTGTGACATTGTGCTACTTGCACATGATATTTAACATGTCCTAATGAATGAATAGCTTCTATAGTTGACAATTCCGAGGCAAAGATGTTCATTTCGAAATTAGGGATAATTTGATATTTCTTAGGAAACAATTATTATATACTTGGAATTGTTTCTTCTCGCAGTCATCATTCTCAGGCGTTATTTATCTATTCTGTGACATTGTGCTCATACATGATATTTAACATTTCCTAATGAACAATAGCTTCTATAGTCAACAATTCCGAGGCAAAGATGTTCATTTCGTACGAAATTAGGGATAATTCGATATTTCTTAGGAAACAATTATTATATACTCGGAATTGTTTCTTCTCGCAGTCTATTCTGCGACATTGTGCTACTTGCACATGATATTCAACATTTCCTAATGAACAATAGCTTCTATAGTCAACAATTCCGAGGCAAAGATGTTCATTTCGAAATTAGGGATAATTTGATATTTCCTAGGAAACAATTATCACAATCGATTAGAAAACTTTATAACCGTGAATCTATCGAATGCCAATCGATATGCTAGGATAATATTTCAACTAAGAAACGTGAATTGAAATAGATACAGTATTTTGATATAAGATCGAGTATTTTCAATATTCTTCAGCGTTTCACCTAGCACTGGATAGAGACAGGTGCGCGTGCAGGTACCTCTACGGCTGTCCCACCGTCCTGCCTGCCCGCTTCGCGTTTCCTCGCCTATCCGCGCGCACGATCCCTCCCCTGGCTTCTATTACTAATAAGCATGCCTAATGCTGCACGTTCCTCGCGTGCCTTGATACCGTGCCAAAGTACGAACCAGAGGTCACATTTTCCCTCTCGACGGGAGAAATTAAGCGGAACTGTTCCCTGAACCGAGCCACCGACAGCTGAACGACAATGTTTGCTCGTTAAAATTGCTCCGGAAGTATCCAACTTCTGAGGAACACAAGGTAGCTCGCGTGTCTTGCTGTTCTCTCGGACTGTTCCTTCTTTGATTAGTTTCGTAATGGATTCTTTAACGAAGAAACGATTCCGTGGTATGAAGTGAATAATCGTTTCGCAGGAAACGCTGAGAGCGTTCTAAACATGGAGATTTCAGCGATTTCACCCGATTAGCGCCTTTCCCTAGTTATCCCCTTGATACAATTCCTCAGACTAATTACGATACGATTAAATACGTTGGAACTTCCAAACGTTTAACCCCTTGTATTTCTTCCGCAGCTTGATAGCACTTCGTGGATAATTGAATAGAAAACGATAAAATCTCGATGCTGATCTAAGTTTACTCTAAACATTGGTAATAAACAAACAATATTTCATTCACACGAGAAACCACGTTCAGATTTATCGAGTTCTTTTCTAGATTTCCCTGTTCGAAGTGAACTCCAAACTAATCCACAAACACAATTCGAATGGTAACAGAAACTCTCCGATCAACCGTTTCTCTAGCGATCGCGCAATCAATGAACCCTAAAAACTCCGGTACAACCGTTTAATTCACCAGGCGGGCCGTCTCGCGTGCGAAGCGATACTTTCGACAGCCCGCGCGATCGTTATCCTATTCCCGTTCTAGTCCGCGCGCGTTTTCCGTCCCCCCAGCTGATGGTCGCCATGAATAACGCGATGTATTATAATTAGACCGAGTACCATATAATATCGATCCCGACCGAGCGAGTTTTACGATCCCGATCGTCGGCGTTATCTCTCGAGACGAGCCGAACCGCCTTCTCCTTCCGTTTACATAGTAAAATCTAACGAGCCCGCAGGAGTAACAAGTTTTAAGTATTCCCAAAGAGCGAGTGTTCCGGGGTCTACGCGACCGGCGATCGCCGGAACGGGTTCCCCGTATAAGAGAGAAAAGATCGTTGGAAAGCGGATCGGACAATTAAGCGCGCGCGCGTATGTATTCGACGGGACAAAAAGGGGTACATATCGAGGCTCGGGCCGTAAGTCATTTAAGGTACGCCTCGGCCGTTTCTGCGAACCGATTTCCCCGAACTTTCGGCGGCCCGTCGAAGGAAGACGGATGTAAAGCAGTCAGGACGAAGACAGGGGGGACGAGACCTGAATGCAGCTGACTTATTGCACGGTCCGGGGCCTCTTTATAAGTCGATCTCGGTGTTGCGACCTACATAGCCGCGCTTTTTCCGGATCGGAGAATTAACTGTGTTGTGTAAACGAGGGTATCGATCTTCTCGATCGTTCCTAGACACACGTGCCCGCGTAATGCCGCTCGTATCATCCGGGGACTCTTACTTTCCGCCTTGATGCTCGAGTATGGGGATAAATCGGTTTGTGGAAAACTGCGGATGTGTTTTGTTCGATTGATTCATTTTTGGCGGATTGGTATTCATTTTGGAATAGAAAGAGGATGATAAGGTGCGTCGTTTCTCGGATGAACCGATTTGTTGGGAAATCGGGGACATGTTTTGTTTGATTGATTCATTTTTGGTGGATTGGTATTCATTTTGGAATAGAAAGAGAGTGAATTGATTTCTTGGAAAATCGGGGATATGTTTTATCTGACTGATTCATTTTTGGTGGATTGGTATATATTTTGGAGTAAAAAATGATTGAATCGATTTCTTGGGAAATCGGGGACATATTTTGTTTGACTAATTCATTCTTGGTGGATCGGTATTCATTTTGAAATAGAAAGAGAGTGAATCGATTTCTTGGGAAATTGAGAACATATTTTGTCTGATTGATTCATTTTTGTTTGATTAGTATTGATTTTCTAATAGAAAGAGACTGAAAGGTTACGTCGTGCAGAGTATTTCACAGAATTTTTCACAAAGTTCAGTAGTTGAATGCGAAAGGTATTCCGTTCAGCGGAGATCTTTGCGAATATCAGTAATTACATTTAAAACAGGACACTCCTTTCGTTTAACAAGGGTCGCCAAGGGAAAAGGACAATTACTTTGCTGGAGGTATCGTTTTAACAATGCTGTGCGTTTTCGAAATAAAATTCAAAGCTGGACGCTGCTCGCCGAGAGAACCTCAGCGAGGACACCGCCAGGGAAAAAGGTACATCGCTCGAAATATTATTTTAACGATCCTGCGCGTTTTCGGAATAAAATACAATGGGAAACGCTGCGCTCGTTTCACAGAACTCGTATAATACGAAATATTGTTTCGGTCCTACGTTTTCGAAATAAAACGAAAATCAAATAATGAAGTGTATACTCGTTAAATGCAGGCGAAATGCACTTGAAATATATCTTGACGAGAAACTAAAGCGAAACGAAGGAGAATTACATGTTTGTCTCAAAATAAATGATCCATCGTTGAAAAAGTTAGCACCATTAAGAGTTTTAAGATGACGTGTGTACTCGTCAAACACAGTTAACTGGTTAAATATCAAATTTTATAGTTTTACTGTATGAAATCATATGGTGAGTGAAAGTCATCTCTCGAGTGCGAAGGGTTAATATTATATATAAGACTTTATAATTTAAATCAAATCAAGTGGTGACAGAGTCACCTCTCGAGTGCAAAGGGTTAATAATTGTTCAAGAAGCAATCAGGAATCATTTTCACCTCTCTGGTAGCTCTAGTGTTAACGAAATGCGATTGCGGGGACCGTTCAGCCGTGCCTTTGTACTAGAAACTTTCACGGCCGATTCATAATTTTTGCGCCCGCCTCTCATGAGTGCCCCCAGCGAGGCTAACCTGAATTCAATGCAGTGTAATATCGCGCGGAGCGAAGGAGAGGTCACCGGAGGTGCTTCTCCGTAGAACAACTAGCGGATCTCCTCGAGAAGCTCCTCCTCGGCCGGTAGCCGGAGTCTGTGGACTTTTAATTAAGTTGCCCGTGAGTTGAATATCAACGCGGCGTTGTTTTGAATATTATTAACCCCGGCGTCGTCCGCCGTCTTCCCGCCGACGCTGCGGACAATGTTCATTCCTGGAATATTAATTTTCCACCGGGTTTCACGACGTTCGTCCGCTACCAACGAATCGCTGGCAGTCGCAGCCCGAAGTTTCGTTAGGGAACAGACCATCGAATGATTCGAATATTTGTGAACAGTCTTTGTGAAAAAGTAATTATCCGTATAATTATATTAAAATCGATTGATATACCCTCTAAAGTGTAGAATCATTATTTTAATAAATTTCGTAAAGCAATTGCTCAAAATCTATATCTTAAGCACACGTGTAATATTTCATTATTGCCTATCTTTGTTTCTTAATATTATTAATTAAATAGTGAATATTTCATTTGAAGAAATCTTCGTGAATTTTTGATTCTTTTTTTCATTATTGCCTATCTTTGTTTCTTAATATTATTAATTAAACAATGACCATATTACATTGAGAACATCGAAACGTTCACGACGTACGCGACGAACGGTTCCCGAACAAAATGGCGGCGCGGCGCGCTAATCGCGTAGCCCAGTCCCAGATTTTCGACGCGCGTGCATCCAGTCTCTTTTAAAACTCGAAACGCTCCGAGCAGCGGGAACACGCGTGTGGCGAAGTACTCTGACCTTGAATTTCAAGGTCCCGTAACGGCTACCTTTTTTACACCCCGTGCATCGAAAGCAGGAGGTCGTGAAAGACGCCGGGAGGGAGAGAGCAAGAGCGGAAGGAGGCGCCATAAAACGAATACCAAACGGAATACCGCCGAAACGATCTCACGGCTCGGTTTAAATATCATTCCGTTATTAACCCTTAACGCGCGAGGGAACGGGACGTAGCCGCGTCGCTTCTGCGCATTGCAAAACGTTGCACGCTGCAACTTTCTACTCGATCTTTGAATCCCTGCGCCTCTATGGCGCTTAACGCGCCGCGTTTCATTCAAACGCTTCCGTACTCGTGTACCTATTTGCAACTGAATCTAATTCAAGTTTCAGATACGATAGAATATC